ATACTTTATTGCTCATTTTCAATCACCGAATGTTTGCAGGACACGGCTATGTGCAATTGCCAACCGCACTTCGCCCACAAATATACGGTGAATTCACGTTAGACATGTCTCGAAGACATCAAAGCGCTATATCAAATGCAAGAATTATTATTTGTGATTACATCCCATTCGGAGAGTCGTGCCAGCCAGAGAGTTAGAAAGGAGAAAAGAGTGAGAGGCGTCTTTTTTGATCCTCAAATATTCTTTGTATCCCAAACCCGCTCTGCCTTCCCCCATTTCCGCAATATTAACCGGTCCGCCACTGTCACACACCGCAGGCTGCCGGAACGCTCATACATGCTTCCATAACATGCTTTTATAAGATCCAGGATTCTGTACGCATTCCCACTGCTTGCCCGCCTGCCTAAATATTCCCTGTGTCGGCTGCAGATCACCCAGAAACCTGCATCTGGTGTCATCTCCTCCACCAGTCTCTGTGACCGTATCATCCCCATCCTTGGATACAGTTCACGATCCTGTTACTCACATTGAAAGCCCTCCATGTCCTCAATCACCCCTACATCTGTGACCTCCTAGCTCCTTACCAATCTGCCCGCTCCCTCAGCTCAGCGGACTCCAGCCTCCTTCATGTCTCCCACCTCACAGCCCCACATTGACGGGCGAGCATTTAGCCACTCTCTAACCATCCAATGGGAATACATTCTGCAGTCCCACTCCCTCAACATTTCCTTGCTTCCTTCAAGATAAATCTGAACACTCTTCCCTTTGAACATGCGTCCGATCACCTTAGTTGTCTTTGTCCTCCAGGCTCCTTAATTTTTTGTTGGTTTTGGAGAGGCGGGAGGGTCTAGTGCAAAAGCTAGGAAAGAAGAAAGGGGACAGTGAGGCGAGAAAGTCATTTCTATGCTTTCTCTCATTAACGTATATGTATTGCTTTATAAATGCAAGATGCCAAAATGCAAGTTGTTATTGTTGGTTAACGGAACAGAAGCTACCAGGAAAAACAACAGCCAGTAAGCACACTTGATACAGAAAGAGAGGCACAATCTGCTCTGTCTGTTATACATAAATTTCTCAGTTTGTGAGTGGTCAGCAAATCGCTTCTCCTCAAGCCTCGAAAGAGAAATAGAAACACAAACGGCCCTTGCTCAGAAAACAATAATCAGAAGTCGCTTGGAACACTCTGCATGTAAGGCAACGTCTAAGGAGAAAATAAAGACAGTCAACGTTTCGTTTCCTCTAACCTTCGTATGATCTGCTGCCTCAACTGCTGAATGTGCCCAACGACTTTTGTTTTTGTTGTCTGATATCCAGCATCTGCAGTAATTTTGTTTTTTTCTTTCGCAGAAAATGCCGTTCAGCCCAACCGTGTGCTTGTCAGTCTGTGAAAGTTATCTTTGTTCAGTCCTATTGTGCGCTCTCCCATTGTGTCTGTGATGGTGTTCGCTCCCCCACTGGAGCGCTCTACAATAATCCCAATCCCTGTCCTCTTTTTCCCGATTGTATTTGTGCTGGTGTTCGCTCCCCACTCATGATGTTTTTGATGGCGAAATTGAGTGGCTGCCTGTAGTCAAGGAAGTATTATGTGACGGCAGATTTTTGAGTGAATTATTTTATTAATAATTCCTACCTTGATCTTTCTTTCCCTTGTACAGTAATACTTCTGGAGAGAAAGACTGTGGAATCTGCAGGTTAGTGACACAATCTAACAATCAAATGTTGCTGTGGGAATATTATTACTGCTCCTAAACCCTGTGCCTTGCCCATTCCTTCTCCATGTTCAGTTAGCTTTTGAATACCTTCCAAATCGACCAAGCTTCATTCTGAAGTATGGTGTTCAGTACAGAGGAGCGAGTCTGCTCTGAGGGATCTACACTAATGTACAAGTAACAAAGCAGTAAACCATGGCCATATTTTGGGTGAATCTCCTATCGTATATAAAGTAGAAGAATAAAATATATAATACAACGTTTAATAATGAAATACGAATTGTAGTAATCTAATATAAACTGTGATAATAATAATAATAATCCATGGATTTGTCTTAGAGCCTTATCGGGTCCCAAAATGCTTCACAGAATATACTGCAATATGAAACAGCTGCTTGCTTTGCTGGAGATATACGGCAGCCAATCGCACACAGTGGTGTCTCACAAAGATTCATGGATTGAGTGACCAAATTACATTTTTTTTAAGGGATTCTTATCCCCAGAAAAGAAACGCCAATTGACTGCTGGGTTCCCACTGACTGCTAGATAAACAGAAACATGTGGATAGAGGAAACTTGTGTAAAATTGTGTCCTGACCGTAAATCTAAATATAAAGTTTAATAATCTAACATAGAGTATAGTATTCTAATACCAACTAGAATAGTTTAGTGTAAAGTATAACAGTCCAATATGATGTAAAATAATCCAATATCAGTATAATAATGTAGAGCATAATAAGACAATATATAATATCACTATCCTTTATCTGCAAACGGAGCTGCAACATGTACAGCTGGTACTGCAATAACCTGTTACTCTTATGGTGACACCTGGGTCGTGTACAGCCAGCAAACACTGCAACCAATACAATGATTATTATTGTTGTTGTATTTTTTTAACGCCAAACATCCTCCCAATGTGACAGATTTCTGTACATGTACATTATATTGTATTATCCTGAGTGACTGGAAGTCAAAACGAAACGGACTCTCAATGTTGCGTATGGTGTTTTACAGAGAGTGTGAGGCTGGTGAATGGCGGCAGCCGATGTGCCGGGACAGTGGAGGTTTACCACGATGGACAGTGGGGCACAGTGTATGGCTATGGCTCTGGTGACTCTGGTTGGGATATGCTGGACGCGGCTGTGGTGTGTAAGGAGTTGGGCTGTGGAGCCGCGCTGTCAGCCTCAGGAGACGCTCACTTTGGGATGGGCTCTGGTCACATTATAACGTATAATGTTCGGTGCAGAGGGAGTGAGTATGCTCTAAGATATTGTTCCTCAGGACCTGGCGTCACTATTATTGGTCACACTCCTCTGATGCCGGCGTCATCTGCTCAGGTAATTAATTCATTGTCTGATGAATTTCAATGTCTCAATAGGAATTAGAATTAGGGAAATTCTGATAAAAGTTTGTAACCCACAATATGTCAGTGTATTATTATTAAATCTGGTGTGGACGGGTTGGTGGGAAGGAGTGGTTCACGCTCATTGCCCTAGGGACATAAATGCGGGTCGCACACTTATGTTGTCTGAGTTATCTGCTTAGTTAAACAAATCTGTCGATCATCATCAGGTCGTTTTCCGAGTGGGTCGTTTGGTGGGGTGAGCACGGGTTGGGGGCAGTGTTGAGCATAGGCGGCTGAGCACAGGGACGACCACAAGGGGCAGAGTATGGGGGGGAGGGTGCAGGGTGGTTGAGCAGAGGGACTAAGTACGTGGAGGTTTAGCATAGGAGTTGAGCAAATTTGGGGTCTGCACAGGGAGCATTGAGCGCTCGGAGTTAGTTGAGAACAGTTGGGACGTGGTTAGCCCAAAGGGGTGCAACATGGGGTTAGAAAACAATGGGCTGAGTACAGTAGGAGTGAGCATAGAGGAGGGATTAGCATACGGTGGATGCGCGTTGGGCCCGGTGGTGACCACGGGGCTTGTAATGAGCACGGTAGAGGTAAACACCGGGGATTTGAGTACAGGATTTGGTTGAACACAGGGTCGGTAAGCACATTGGACATCACAGGAGTGGAGCACAAGGGGTGAGCAAATGGTGTGAGCACTTTGGGGGTGAGCACAATGGGGTGAGTACGGAGGGTTGAGTTGAGTATCAGTGAGCACAAAGGGCTGAGCACATGAAGGGTAACACATGCGTTGAGAACAGGTGTGTCGAGCAAAGGGGGTTTAAGCACACGGGATGAGAATGATTTGGGTTTAGCACGTGAGGAAAACAAGGGGGTTTAGGACGAAGATGTGATCTCGTGAGCTGAGCAGAGGAGTGGATGAGCACAGGGAAGGTGGTGATCACTCTGGTTTGGTTAAACACGGGGTGTAAAATGGACGCGTTTCTGGGGATAGCATATTGGGAGAATTTGGCCAGAGGTGTTGAGCACCGAGGTTTTGAGCTCAGGGGTCTGAGCACATCGGGGAGCACATGGAGGTATCAGAATGGGAGGAACAGAGGGAGGGAGCGCAAATGATTAGCACAGGGCGTAATAATAGGTGGTGAGCACAAGTAGAGGATGACAACCGGAGTGAAGAGCACAGTGGATCACGAGCAAAATTTTGGGTAAAGAACATGGGGAGCGCGGGGGTGGTACGAATAGACGGGGAGCACCTGGGGTTTGTGCATACGCGGGGAGTATGGGGTGAGTATGGGTGGGAACACAAAGGTGTAAACCGATGGGTGTGTAAACAGGTTGGGTGAGCAAAGGGTTGTTGTACACAGGATGAGTAAGGATACAAGGGTTTGAGCAAAACGGCGTGGAGGGCTTTTGCCCTGGAGGAGGCTGTGCACGTTGGGGAGGCTGTACCTTGGATGGCAGCTGTGCTCTGGGGCAGCAGCTGTTTCCGGGAGATGCCTGTGTCGGATGGGGTTGTGAGAGTTGAGGACTGTGCCCTGGGAATGGACTGTGACTGGTAGGGTGCTGTACGTTTGGAGTTGGGCTGTCCATCCATCGCGCTGTATTGGGTTGGGTGCTCTGTGGAGGGACTGTCGTCTGAGGCGTCTCTGTACCGTGGGTGGGTGGCTGATCCTGTGGGGCTGTGACATTGTGGGGCTTGTGAACTGGGTCAAGAGATGAGCCTGTGGTGGGACCTGTACAGTGGGAAGTGGTCGGTGGACCCTGGGTTTGTTTTGGCAGTGAGTGATCTACCGGGGGGCAGTTGTGGGGTTTCTGCAGGGGTTCAAGATCGCTGTACCTTGTGGGGAAGCTGTGCCCTCGTTGGTAGGGCAGGGCAAGAGAGCACTGTGCCGAAGCAGCGCACCGATGAGCCTGAGAGGCAGCTATCGGAGGTGGGAGTAGTTGCTGTTACCTGGGAGGGGTTTGTACCAGGGAGAGCGGTCTTTGTCTGGATCTGCCTTTACCTGGGGTGGAGCTTCCCTGTGTGGAGTCTGTGTACACTGGGGATTTGATTATTCCCTTTGGACTGTTGCTGTGCCATAGGGGATGTCTTCTGTTTTGTATTGTTGCGGCTGTGCACTGTCGGTGGGGTCTGTGCCTTGGGGTTTGGCTGTGCTCTGGCGCTGTGGGTGAGGGCTGCGTCCTCGGGGCGAGGTGCTTTGCCCTGAGTTGGGGTTGTGCTCGTGTCTGTGCCTGGGTTCGTTCGTGTTGTGTGTGATGGAGCATTGTATACGTCCGCGACTCCCCCACACCCCCATACACACAAACAAATATTCAAACAACAAAAAGGGAGCTATTAATGCAATAATAAAACAACAATATCTGCATCTTTGTACCTGCCAGAGCGCAATAAACAATTGATGTAGAACGATTTTACCTCTTCGTGAAGGTCTTGTTTGTTTTAGAGTCGTGGACGTGCTCCAGAGCAATGCCTATCCTTGATGAGCTACACTTAAAATAAATTTAATGAAGCCACAAAATTTGATGTGTGGATAATATTCCGCAATGAATTAACGGCAGGGAAAATCACACACTGTTCTTTCAGTGAAGAACTGAAAGAAGATTCAGTGAAGATTCTTTCAGGAACACATGCGCATGAATGTATTCTGTAACAAAGCAATAAACCACTGCCATATTTTGGGGGAATCTCCTATCTTTATATAAATTATAATAATCTTATATAAAGTATAATGATATAATATAAGTATTATAATATAAAAGCTCTATCCTTCTGTTCCAAAGGCAGCTGCAACGGGTATATGTACCTGCGGAATGAATCGTTAATATTATTGTTGATACCCGGGTTTTGGACTGTATGTAGCCAACAGTCATTGAAACCATTATAATGATTATTATTGTTGTTGTATTGTTTAGCGTCCAGAAACCCTCGCAATGCGACATGCACCTTGTGAGGTATTATCTTCGATTACGCTCAATATTCTGCGTGATGTCTTACAGTGATTGTGTGGCAGATTTTATTTCCTTTTGGCAGATCGTTTGAGGCTGGTGAACGGCGGTAGCCCCTGTGCCGGGAGAGTGGAGGTTTACCACGATGGACAGTGGGGCACAGTGGATGGCTATGGTTGGGATATGTTGGACGCGGCTGTGGTGTGTAAGGAGTTGGGCTGTGGAGCCGCGCTGTCAGCATCAGGAGACGCTCACTTTGGCGAAGGCTCAGGTCCCGATGTGACGTGGAGTGTCCGGTGCAGAGGGAGTGAGTCTACACTGAGGGGTTGTCGGTCACAGCCCTGGGGTGTTGGCTATTTCTGGCCACACTCCTATGTTGCCGGCGTCATCTGTTCAGGTAAATATTTCAGTCTTCAATCATTTTTTTTCCCTCATATTTTCGGCAAACTACGGATCGAGAAACACTGTTAAAGTTTGTATCCCATAATATGTTAGTTTATTATTAAACCTGAGTGGAGTGTTTGCGCTCATAGCACTGTGATCAATTTTCCAAATCCAAAACATACGATGTCGGCGTCATTTGCTCAGTTAAATAAATCTATCTTTTAGAATAACCTCGTGCTTGGGGTGAGGGCAAGTGTGAGCGAGGGGATGGTTAGGAGGTCGCCAAAGGCCGCTGAGACCTGTGGTTGAGCACAAGCGAGTGCGTAAACTGGAAAGGAGTACATGGTGCGTAAGCACAGCGTGGGTGAGCGCAACAACAACAACAACAACAAGATTCCATTTAGAGCGCCTTTCACGTCAGGAGGACGTCCCAAGGCGCTGCACAGTTGGGTCATGACCCGAGCAGGGCGGAAATGGTCAGGGTGAGGGGATGGAAGGGAGGGAGCGAGGAGGAGGAAGAGAGTCGAGAGGGGAGCTGAAGGCACGGTCAAAGAGAAAGGTTTTGAGACCGGCCTTGAAGGAGGAAAGGGAGGAAGCAAGGCGAAGGCACTGGGGGATGGAGTTCCAGAGCCTGGGGGCTGAGAGGCTGAAGGCCCGACCACCGATAGTAGGGCGGTTGGGGCGGGGGACGTGGAGCAGACCGGAGCCAGAGGAACGGAGGGTACGGGCAGGTAGGTAGGGGGATGGTAGGTTGGAGAGGTAGGAGGGAGCAAGGCCGTGAATGGCCTTGTAGGTGAGGATGAGGAACTTGAAATCAATCCTCTGGGGGATTGGGAGCCAGTGGAGGCGAGCGAGGGTGGGAGTGATGTGATTGCGAAGCCTGGTGCGGGACAGTACACGAGCTGCAGAGTTCTGAATGACCTGCAGCTTGTGGAGGGAGGTGGCGGGAAGGCCGGCGAGGAGAGAGTTCCCATAGTCCAGCCTTGAGGTGACAAAGGCGTGAACCAGGGTTTCAGCAGCGTGAGGGGTGAGGTAGTGCCGTAATCTGGCGATATTCCGGAGGTGATGGAAGGCGGTGCCAGTTGTGGTGCGGATGTGAGGGAGAAAGGACAGCTCAGGGTCGAACAAAACGCCGAGGTTCCTGACTGGCTTTGAGAGGTGGAGAGTGCAGCCTTGGATGCTGATGGTGTCAGCGCCTGAGGTGCGGAGGCGCTGACGTGAGCCAATCAGGAGGGCCTCGGTTTTTCGCACGTTGAGCTGATGAAAGTTGTCTCTCGTCCAGGACTCGATGTCGGACAGGCAGGCTGTCAGGACATCGGTGGTCGTGGAGTTGAGAGTAGAGGAGGAGGAACCTAAGGCTCCTATTAGGGACACCTAATACACGCATTGATATCATCCAGGCTTGATTTTTGCAAACATCCTGCGTGTCGGCCTCCCCAGCTACACGCTCCTTCGGCACCAGATCATGCAGAACTCTACAGCCCCTGGGGTCTCCTGCATCAGTTTCCCTGACCGTATCACCCCCATCCACGCCCGACTCCATTGCATACAATTCCAGACACGGATCGTCACATTCGAAGGCATCCATGGCCTTGATCCATGCTATATCAGCTTACCCACCACACGCTGTGATCAGCGGGTTCGTGGTTGCTTCACTTCACTGAAAATTATTGTGTGGGGATTTAGCCACTTTGCCCCAACCCTCTGGAATTTCATCCTGCAGCGCACTCCAGCACCCCAACCCGCGCCCGTGCCCGCGCCTCGCCGCTTGTTTGCTTTCTTAAAGACACATCTCAAGAATTTCATCTTTGACTTTATAATCAACCGCCTTCCCCATGGGCCCTCAACCTTCTTTAATCCAAACAATCAGCTATTGTCCGAAAGTGTGTCCTGCGACTTGGGACGTACACCCGACCTCAAAGGCCATATACAAATGTGATTATTGGTAGGTGAGTTAGGAGATGCGATTGAGGAGATAGAGGAGAGAAGGGAGCGTGGGGAGTTAGAGTACAGAGGCGAGCGTAAGAAGAAGAGAGAGAGCATAGAAAGGAGAGAGGGGAGTGGAGGCGGTATAGCAAAGAGCAGGCAGTTTAAAAGAGCGATAGACGATAGAGAGCAGAGTGGAGTGAGAAGTAAAAGGGGAATATATGGAGAGGAGAGAAGGCGGATAGATATTAGTGTTAGAAGTGGAGAGACAGGGGCTGGTTGGTTTGTGAGAGGGATGTTGAATTTAATTGTGGGAGGGAGGGGACAACGAGGAGGAGAGAAAAGGTTAGAGAGAAGGTTTGAGGAATAAGTATGTGGGATGGAAGAGGGAAGGGATGCGCGGGAGACGAAGCTGTAACAGACGTAGGAGCAGTAGTTAGAGCGAGGGAGATCACGATGGGGATATGGAGGTGTAGATGGTGAGGGGGAGGGATGGGGAGACGAATAATATGTAGGGAGGGAAGAGGGAGTAGGAGATAGAGGTGGAGAGTTAGCGTAGAATGTATTGAGAGGGAAGGGGCTAACGAGGGGAAGGCGTGCATTGGAAGCAGACGGAAATGCAGGGGGAGTCGGAGTCAGGAAAGAACTCGGGCTGCTGTTACTGGTACAGAGAAGGTTGAACCGGGAGGCAGATCGTTGCAATGATAACGTCTTCTGGGTCCCTTCTCCGCATGAAGCTATATATTGCTATATTGCTACATAAATGGTATTTGTCAAAACTCAAGTTGTTGTTGATGGGGAACGGGAGAGGTTCGACGATAGCCAGTGAACGCAATCCTTACCGAAGGGGACAAACCGTGTATTCTGCCTATTAACGATTGTTGAGATAAATAGATCTCTTTCTGGGGGGAGGGAGGTCACCAAACCTAACCTTCTCGAAGACTCTAAACAGAAATAGAAATAATCCGAGAACAGAACATGACGTTCAGCCCAGTGTAGCATTTATGAGTCTATGAAAGAGCTCTTGGTTCAGTCCTTTTTGTCGCCTCTCCCCATTGTGCCTTTGTTCGTGCTCACTCCCGCACTAAATCTCACCACTATAATCCCGTTCCCTGTTCTCTCTTTCCCCATCATATCTGTGCTTGTGCTCGCTCCTCCACTGAAGCCCCCCACTCTAATCCCATTCCCTGTCCTTTCTCTTCCCTTTTGTGTCGTTGCTTGAGCTTATTTCCCCACTGCAGACCATATTTCGATAACATTTAATGGCTGCCCTAACGATTGACCATTCCTGGTGTAATCAGATCCCTGTTTGTATGAAATATTTATTAATGAATTCTGCTTTGATTTTTTTTCTTGTGCAGTGATATTTCTGGAGAGAAAAACAGTGGAACCTGCAGGTTAGTGACGCAATATCGCAGAGAGAAGCTGCTGTGGAAGCATTAACTGCTCAGAGTGAGTCTCTGCCTCTATTCATCTCCATCTGGGGAATAGGAGGAAAAGCCGTCACACAATCCACAGGCCACGTTAGTAGACTGGCTTAAAACTTCCGTTTGTACCTCGACCTACCCGTGAGAATGTGAATGTGTGAGTCTGTGTGTTGGTGAGACAGAGAGTGCGTGTTTGTGTGAGCGAGTGTGGGATTACGAGTGTTTGTGTGTGATTGAGTGTGTCACTATATGAGTGGTTGTGTGTGTGTGCGATGTTTGTGTGTATGAGTGATTGTGTGTGTCCTTTTGTGTGAGGAAATGAATAGGTGTTTGTGTGAGTGTGTGTTAGTCAATGCGTGTGTGTAGGAGTGTGAGTGTTTTGGGGTGTGCGTGCGTGTGTGAGTGAGTGTGTGCGAGTGTTCTGCTATAAACAGCAGAACAGCTACACCCTCCCAACCCAGAGCATCGCTGGCCAGCACTCCCCCCATCAGCATGGACAGCACTGAGCATCAGGCTGGACTTTACACTCCCACCTTGACATGGGTGGTGGGGGCAGCTCAAGTGCACAGCCTTCTGCCTTGGAGGCAAGAGGCCTAACAAGAGCGAGTCAAGCGAGCGGCCTGAGAGTGCCGGTGATGCCGGGCACGATGCTGGCTTAGCCGTGCAATATGGCATGGATCTGATGAAGTTAGGCAACATCTTGAAGGAGTAGGTCGGGTTGGTGTCTCTGCCAAGGCCACGCTCTATCTCTACCAAGAAGCGTTGGGAGATGTCCTGCAGCGTCTCGTCAGACAAGTACCTGCACCACCTGCATATAGATGGGGATGGAGAGGGGGGGAGGTGTGGGGGAGAGAGAAGGTCAGTGGCAGCAACTCAAACAACACCTGTACCTGGGGTCTTTCACGCAGATGGCAGTGTCTGCAAACTCCTGGGTCCCCAAAAAACCTTTGTGCATTGATAGTTTTTACTGTGACACTTTTTACATCTTTGTCGCTCTCCCGCACCAGCTCACCGACTCCCGGGTCAACACATTGTGGATTCAAGCTCCGCATGCAGACAGACTCTTACTCGCAGTGACACACACACATCCTCTCAGAACACATTGCTATTTAGTCGGTTGTCGCAGTGTATAATTTGGCTGCTTACACAATATGCTGTCATTCAATCCTTGTGAAATCTTGGGAGTCATCGGTGGTGGGCGGGGTGGGGGGAGAGCGGTGGGGGTTCTCAGAGGTCAGATCAAATACGAGGCTTAATAATTGGGATCTTTCTGCCGGCGTATGAACAAGGCAGGGCTGGGAAGTTCCTCACGCAGAACCTTCCCCAGCGATATATTTAGCCGTGTGTCTGGACGCGTTACAGTTAACATCTGCCACCGTCAGGGAAGAGGTGGTGCCTGGTGTCTGGAGGTGCATAACACTGATCTGTGATGGCTATATCCCATCAGGCAGTCGCTGAGCCTCGCGGCACGTCTTGTCCTGTGAGACAAGAACACCATGACCCTGACTGACTGACGGCCCGCGGTCACAGCACACGTCCGGCGAGAGGAACTGCCGCTCGGTCCATTGTTCCCAACTCAGACGCTGACAGCATCACCATCCATGTTTGCTCTCTCCACTTTGCCAAGTCAGTCCCGAAACTTAGGGTCTTGTTTGACCCTCAACAATAAATTCTGCCCCCACATCTGCGCCATGACCCGCTCTGCCTCCCCCCCCTCCCCCCCCCCCCCCCCCCCCCACCTCCGCAACGACTCCCGGCTCCGACGCTGCCTCACACCGCAGGCCCACGTTTGTTTCCGCAATTTCAGCCACCGATGCGTACCGATGTCCATCTAACGCTCTGCCTTATCCCTTCCTTCTCCATTCTCAAATGGCACCTGAAGATCTTCCTATTCGACCATGCCTCAGGTCACCTCACCATCCCTCAGACCACGAGTCGTGTTCCGCCTTCGTCAAGTATTCTGTGTTCGATGGGGCGTGGGGGTGATGGTGGTGGGGGTGCGGTGGTTGGCGGTGGAGAGGGGTGGTGTATAGGGTGGTGTTACGCCTCGGGGGTTCTGTGAATTTGGGTGCTGTGCCTGCGGCTTGTGGTTTCTGTTTGGGATGTGGGGGCGCAATCTCTTGGGATGTATGTGCTCCGGTATCCGAGGTTGTGGCTGGGCGGAATATTGGGTTTTCTAGCGGGTCTGGGCCTGGGTGTTGGAAGAGCGTGTGGGAGGCTGTGCCCTCGTAGGTAGAATGGTACCACGAAGGGAGGATTGTGCGTTTGGGGAGGTGCTGTGCATCGGTGGAGCTGTACCTCTGGAGTTTTGTAGACGGCGTGGGGGAGCTATGCATTGGCTGGGGTTTGCTGTTTGCTGGCGAGGTCTGTGCATTGGGGTAATGTGCGCTGAGGTGGAGTTGCCTCTCATCTAAGGCTTGGGTTCTCCGCCATGTTTGGTGTGTTTGTGGCCTGGCGAAGTGCGGTGGGAACCAGGCTGGGGGGTTTTATTGGTGCTTTGGGTGTTGGCTGAGATTGTGCTCTGTTGAGAGTAGCTGTGCCGAGGGTGAAGCTATCCAGGGTGTATAATCTGGACTCTGGGTACTTTGCCTTGAATGTGGGCTGTACTGCGCCTGCGATGGCGATCTCAGCATGGGAGAGGCACAGCCTGTATGTGGATGCCCAGGGCGTGGAAGCTTATCCCAGGGGTGAGCTACAACAACAGCAACAACATCATTACTCTTTAGGCCGGGAGGGAGTCTCAAAAGGCTGAAAAGTCAGCAGTCGAGGACTGGACATGGGACAGAGGTGGTGTAGCGGCGAGCGAAGATAGAGAGATGGGAGTGAGACCAAAGGCAGATAGGAATAAATGTTCTTTAGACCGGCCTTGAAGGAGGCAAGGGAACAAACGAGGTAAAGGGAAAGTGGGGTGGAGTTCCAGAGTAAGGGAGCAGAAAGGCTGAAAACCTGGCCGCCGATGCTACGGCGGGTCTGGCGGAAGACATGGAACAGGCCGGAGCCCGCTCAACGGAGGGAGCGGGCAGTTTGTTAGGGAGTCAGCAGGTCAGAGAGGTAGGAGTGAGCATGGCCATGGATGGCCTTCAAGGTGAGGACGTGCATCTTGAGCTCGATTCTCTGGGGGATGGAGAGTCAGTGGAGTCGGGCCAGGGCGGCAGAAATGAGATCACGGAGCCTGAGAGTACACGAGCTGCCGAAATTTGGATGATCTGCAGCTTGTGATGGGAAGAGTTGTTAACGCCGATAAGGAGAGAGATCTGAGGTAGCTGGACATCTGGGGTGGAGCTGACCAATGAATTGAGGCGCTTTGCCTGGATGGGGTGAGCCTGCGTGGTGAGTGGGCGTTGTCAGGCCCTGGTTGATGGGCTGTGCCCTGGGGCTGGCTGGTCTCTGGTGTAAGGCAGGGTTATATCTGGGGTCTGTTGGGTGTGTTGCTGAATTGCAGTCACAAACCTGAGCAACCAATACACGAGTAATGCGACAACGTTTGTGTCTATGTATGTATCCCTGTATCCGCCGATAACTAAATAATCACTTCTTCGAAGCGCTTCACTGTTGGTGAATAGGCTGTATATTTGGTGAGCGAAAAGTGGCAGCCAATCGCGCACAGCGCTGTCTTATAAATAGTCGTAGAATGATTGACCAAATTACTGTTTATATTTTAAGAAGATTGTTATCTCCGGAAGAGAGGCCTCCCAATTGAGTAACGGCTTCGTACTGAATGCTATGTAAACGGAGGCATCTGGGGTGAGGAAAGTTGCCTAACATTCCGCCCTGCCCGTGAAACTAAATATTAAATATAATAATCTAACATAAGTATAATAATCTAAAATAAAGCACAATAGCTCAATGTAATTATACTAATCCAGTGTAGTCTATTATAATATAAATTATAATAATCTGATATAAAGTTTAATAATATAAAGTATAGGATGGAATATAAATTATAATAACACTAGTTTTGTTCGCAAATTAGCTGCAACAGTTCGAGTTAGTAGTGTAGTAAACTGTTGCTGTTAATGTGAAACACGAGTTGTGGACGGAATGTCGCCAGCAGTGAGTGCAACCATTATGATTATGATTTTTGTTGTGTTGTTTACCCCCAGACACACTCCGACTGTGACAGGCTCTCGTTGCATGTACATTGTATTGTATTTATTGTATTATCCTGGAAGTCAAACAGGAAACAGACAATTAATACTGTGGGTGATGTTTTACAGAGAGTGGGAGTCTGCGGCTGATGAATGGCAGCAGCCCGTGCGCCGGGAGAGTGGAGGTTTACCACAGAGGACAATGGGGCACAGTGGATGGCACTGACTACAAAGATGATCTGACCTGGGATATGAAGGCCGCGGCTGTGGTGTGTAATGAGTTGGGCTGTGGAGGGGCGCTGTCAGCATCAGGAGACGCCCAATTTGGGAGGGGCTCAGGCTACATTGTGACATATGGTGTTCACTGCAGAGGGAGTGAGTCTACTCTGAGGGAGTGTCACTCGGGGAACTGGAGTCACTATTCACTGTCACACTCCTTTGATGCCGGTGTCATCTGCTTAGGTAAACAATTCATTCTCTTATGATTATCAGTTCTCATATTTTCGGGTGTGACCACATTGGGTTCGATACAGTGGGCTGCGTGTTACAGGCTACTGAGCACCAGTTGGATGAGGGAGGTGGGTTTGTGGGGAGAGATGAGAACAGGGCGATCAATACAGAAGAGTGAGAAGAGGTGGTAGTGGAGCAAATTGTGGGTGAGCAAATTTGGGTGAACACAAGACGGGGGTGGAGCAGGGAGTGAAAACGGTGATTGGGTAAGAACTTTGGGGTTTACCACAAACGGATGAGCGCACAGTCATGTGCAAGAACAGGACGATGAGCAACGTGGGTGGGCGGGAGAGCAAAGGGTGTGTGATCGCTTGCAGCAGCACAGACTGGGGTTAAAAGCGGGTTGTAAGCTTAGGGGGCTATGAGCAAGGGAATCAGATGAAAAGAGAGAAGGGTGAGAGCAAGGATTAAGCACACGGCGCGGAGAGCAGAAGTGGTTTCAACGCATTGCTGAAGAACATATTTGAGATTGGGCACAAGTGAGTTGACCAAAAGTTGGGGAGAGTACAAAGGTGTTGAGCACAGTTTGTGGAGAGCTCAAGTGTGGTTGAGCACAGCGAGACAATTGAGAATTTGGTGAGTGGGGGTGACCACAGAGGGTGAGTTCAGTGGAGGGTCAGCACAAAGAGCAGTGTACACAATGGGGATTAGTACGTGTGGGTGTTTGAGCACTGGGAGGGGTGAGCACACGAGAAGTGAACACAGTGGAGCTGAGCACAGGGTTGAAAGTACTTTGGTTTGAGCGCGAGGGTTCAGCACAGGGGGTGAGCAAAAGGTGAGAAGCACGGTGGCGGGGCGTTAAACGTAGGATGAGCCCAGAGTTTGCGTAGAATACAAGGAGGGGGGTTAGAACAGCGATGTTGAGCACAGGAGATCAACAAAAGGGGGTTGAGCAGAGGCAGGGAAAGCGAAGCGGGTGTTAAGCACAAGGGTGTGTGACCACAGGCGAGCGACTGTGGGGTGATGAGCATAGAAGGCTGGTGAGCACAGTCGTGTGGGAAAGCACGGGGGAGTGAGCAGGTGCGGTGGGTAAGTGCAGTTTGGTTGAGAACAAGGTGCTGGGTGAGCACGGGTGGCGGGTGAGCATGGCCGATGGTGGGGGTGTGGGGGTGTCCGTGGTGGTGGTGGGGGTATTATGCACACCTCTTCCAACCCAGTGTCAAACGACCTCAAATTGAGCTAATTGTATATACATTATACATTATATATTACAGTTGTGGATGTGCATAATGGATTGTATTTGCAGGAGGTAAACCACCCAGACTGGTGAATGGAGGCAGCCGCTGTGCGGGGAGATTAGAGCTGTACAGCAATGACACTTGGGCGACACTTTGTGGCGAGAACCTGAACACGGAAATTGCAGTACATATTTGCAAACTTTTGGGATGTGGATTTGCTGTATCGGCCTCAGGTAACGCTCGCTTTGGAGAACGATCGGGTCGTGTGGTTGGTCGACCAGACTGCGGACACGGACAGGACATTGGCATAACCTGTTCAGGTATAGACCACAACCACAATAATGTACATTAACATAGCGTCGGAATGGGGGGGTTGAGTACAGGAATGTGAGTGGGAGCACAAGGGGGTGAGCGTTGGCATAGAGTGTGAGTGTCAGTACAGGGGAGTGAGCACGTGGGTGACTGTGAGCACAGCTCATTTGAGGGTGAGCAAATCGGGATTTCTGTGAGCACAAGATGGGACTGAGCACAGTGGTGAGCCCTGGGAGAACGATTCGCTGATTTATCTTGTACTGAACAGTAGAACAGATAAGATAGATGGCTGCGTGAAAATATTGTTTCAGTGTACAGTATGTAGCTTGGGGCACAACATGTTGTTACTATGAGGATGGTGGAAGGCAAATTGGATGAACCTCGTTCTTCTGTCGCCATCTGGCTACTCCATCTCACACTCACTCTCTCTCTCGGAAATGGCATGGGGATACTTTACATAATATGTCTCTTTCTCACCCACTCTCTCGCGCTCTCGCTATCTCTCTCTCTCTCTCCTCTCTCTCTCTCTCTCTCCCTCGCAGACCAGATGGAAATACGGCCGGTTAATGTGTCTACCGCTCACGAACTCGGTCTCACACAATTTCTCTCTCACACTCTCTTTTCTCTCGCTCACAGATCAGATGTCTTTTTTTTTCCTCTCCCCCTCTCTCTCTCCCTCTCTATCTCTGTCTCAAACTTGCAGACGTGATGGCTTGTTGATGTCTTTGTCTCGCACCATCCCTCCCTCCCTCATTCCTGCTCGCTTTCTCTCTCTCTCCCTCTCTCAAACTCGTAGACTCCTCCTTCCGCAGGCTGCAGATAATCCAGAACTCTGCAGCACGTTTCTTCCCCGCAACAACTTCCGTGACCCCATCTCCCCGACACTCACCCGACTCCACTGGCTCCCTATCCCTCAGAGGATCCGGTTCCAGCGCCTGGTCCTCACACACAAAGCTCTCCATGGCCACGACCCAGCCTGCTTCTGCAAACTCATAACCCTCTACCAACTAATGCATTGCATCCGCTCAGCCGGCTCCCGTCGCTTACATGCTCCATCGTTGGCAGGAGAGCCTTCAGCCACTCTGCCCCCAACCTCTGGAACTCCATTCCCCAAACACTCAGCATCGCTCACTCGTTAGCCTCCTTCCCGTCCTCCTTAAAACGCTCCTCTTCGAGCATGCCATCGCTCCCCCCCACCCCTTTCCCTCCCTCCCGTTCCCCACACTGACCCCAGATCAGGTCTGAAATTCTGTACAATGTCAAACGCCTTGAGACGTCCTGCCGACGTGAAAGGCTCTATGCAAATTTAACCTTCCCGCTGTTGTAGAATCTCTCTCTCTCTCTCTCTCTCGCACAGACCAGACTGAGTTACGGCTGGTGAATGGATCTCACTGCTGTTCGGGCCGGGTTGAGATGCTGTTTATGGGGCTGTGGGGCACAGTGTGTGACGATAATTGGGATTTGGCTGACGCTGATGTTGTTTGCTCGGAGCTGGGCTGTGGGCCGGTGATCGCTGCCGTGACCAGTGCGATGTTTGGAAAAGGGAAAGGTCAGATCTGGCTCGATGACGTGGCCTGTGTCGGTAATGAGTCCCACCTGTGGCGATGCCCCGCTAGAACCTTGAGCCATCACAACTGTAATCACGGCGAGGACGCAGGTGTGGTGTGTATGGGTAAGTAAATTCCTCCATCTCTTTCTCAACGTCTCTGTCTGTCTCGCCTTCACTTTATCTGTGTCTCTCAGACTTTCATTCTCCTTGCTTTCTCACGCTCTATCTCTTCTTCTCAATCTTTCTTCTGCTTTCTTTCTTTCTCCTGCATTCTTTCTTTGTTTGTTTCTTTGTTTGTTTCTTTGTTTGTTTCTTTGTTTGTTTCTTTGTTTCTTTATTTGTTTCTCTCAGTTTGTCTCTCTGTCTCTCTTTCTCTCTGTAGCTCATTGTCCTCCATCTGTCAATTCCTCACTGTCTCCATCCTATTTGTGCCAAAAAAAAACAGACACTGCACTACACAGTGTATACTCTGAAGTTCATTGATGCGTCTCGAACATTTGATGGGACGTTTTAATATATGTAAATATTCTCCCTCTCTTTCACACTCTCTATCTCTCACTCTGTCTCTTTCTCTCTCTCGCCATTTCTCTGTCTCTCCATATATAATCTTATAGAGTGGTGGAACAGCTTCGCGGGGCTGAATAGCTTAGAAATTTTCCGAGTTTCCAGTATATATTTCAAAATCTCCATCACCCAATTTCACTACCTTTCCATGTGCTGCACGTCTGCTTCTCTCTATTGCTATTTGCCCATCCTCTCCCCTTTTAAAATCTCTCCATCTCTCCGCCCACCAAACTCCATATCTCTGCATATATCTCTCTCTCTCTCAATCTCACTTTCAATCTCTCGCTTTTTCTGACTCTCTCCATCTCACGTTTAAGTCAGATTTTCTCTCTTCCCCTCTCCCAAACTTTCTCTTCAGCAATTCGTTGAGTGTGAGCTCCTCATTCGTGTCTCACACTCACTCTATCTGTCAATCACTCAAGACCTCCATCCTTCACTATTGCCCTCAGTCTCTCCCTCCGACTCTATACCTCACTACATCTCCCTCCATCCATTCAATCTCTCGCCACCTAATTGTCTCCCGACATCTCACTATATTTCATTCTTTCCATCTCTCACTCTCTTCCTCTGTCCCTTTCACTTTCTCTCTACAACCCGCCGTCAGTTTGACACAAACTCTCTCTCCATCCATCAGACTCCATACCTCCTTCCATCTTTCTTACACACGCTTCATCTGACTCTGTAACTTCGCATGACCCTCTCACACGCATCCCCTCCATCTACCTAAAGTCATTCTACGCCTCCCTTCTCCCCTAGCACTCACTCTCTCGAACCATCCCTCTCACACACTCTCCATCCGTCAATCTGAAACACTTTGTACAACCCTGCCACTCTCTCACACTCTATATATCCAACAACCCTTCTCTGTATCCGACTCCGTCGCTCTCACGCTTTCTCCCTCAATCTATCATGCTCTACCACCCTGTGTACCTATCACACTCATTCTGTCCATCTCTTTCAAGCTCCCTCAGCCTCATTCACTTTCCCTCTGTCACTCACTTTCATGCAGCCCTATTTCCCTCTCGCATTCGCTCCATGCGTCTGCTAATCGAGACCTCCCTTCGCACACCTCACAATCACTTAAGCTGTCCATCACTCTATAACTATCCATAACTGCAGCTTTCACTAGCACACTCAGTCAAGCTGTACGTGGATCCAAACGTCCTCTGTCACTGTTATACTCACACGCTCGATTCGTTTTTCTGGACCTCTCTTTAAATCGATTGCACACCATCACACCTCCATTACCTCCCAAACACCAAGTTGCAGCTCACACCCTCTATTACTCACTCACACCTTCTCAAACCCTCAATCCTTTTATCACTCATTCCCTCATGTGAAGGTCCAGACTTCCACTCGATTGTGGTTAAAATCCTGTCTGAAGATCACACAGAAGTATCAGATTGAATTCCACTCATGCTTTCGCTGGTTGAAACTATATATTGCCCCAGTCCATGGCGTGCTTCGCAGTTGTTCCCCTGTCCTCTTTGTAGGCAAAGATTTGGTGTTTCCCCTCAACCATTTCCCCAACACGTAGTCCTGACGCCTCCTACAGCCCATTGAAAAAGCAAATGATCACTGTTACTCGGACCTCATCTTTGTATGTGCCACAAAGCGAGTGTCTGTGAGATTATTTTTACTGTGTTTTAATTCCAGATCGACTCCGGAAACCCACCCTTTCTCTGAAAATAGATTCCCGGATGTTTGTGAGAGGAGAATTCGCTGAGATCTCATGTTCTGGGAATTATCCTGGCAGCAATTTCTCTTTATACAGAGACGGCGAGTTTATCACATCACATTCAACTCCAGGGAATACTACCATAGCAATATTCACCACATCGGAGATCAGTAGAGGTCATTACTGGTGTAAATATACCATACGCGTAGACGGCCGAGAGTTCGCATCACCAGAGAGTGACCGAGTGGGAATCACTTTGCGGGGTAAGAGCTCAGTAAAATCTCACACAATAACCTGTATCTGCTTCGACCATTTACAGCAGCTCCTGTTGTAAACACTTTTTGTAACATCGATCATATTTCCAAGTTACATTCGGCTGTCCTCTATGTATTTCATCTATATCTTCGCACCCTTGAGCCCCTCTCCGCCATTCTCGCCATTCTCTGTCCACTTTTTTTCCACCCATATCCCTAATCGTTCTCACACATATCGCCAAACACTTGCTCCCACACTGCACACCGTGTCTCTCCCCTCCCCGATTTCTCTCCTCGCACAACCACTCTCACACTCAGTCCTCCATTTTCCCTTCCACGCTCTCACCCCACCACTTTCTCTTCTTCCTCCCTTATCTCTCTGCTTCCGTCCACCAAACAATATCATGCCCCCACCGATATCCCCCCTTCTGTACTCGAGAGGCGGGACAATCTCGGCTCATCATTACCTGTGGGTGTTAACTACGAATCAATGAAAGCCAAACCCCAGACTGTGCATATAAATTGGAACTGATTTCGCTGTTAGTCAAGCTTTCCCAATGTTTGCGCACCTAGAATCAGTTAGGTATTTGCTTTGCATGGTTAACAGAAGCTGAGTGGTAAGATTTCCTCCCACATTGACTAATCTGCTCTTTCAGGTCTCACTGGTCAGCCACACTGTTCTGCAATCAGCAATGCTTTGGAATAATATGTACCCGCCTGGCTCGTTCAAGAAACCAATCGGTATTGATTTATTTCTGACATTCCAGCTGCATTTACCCCTCCTCCCACCGAGTGCAACATCACTTGTCATTTATTTGAGACCTAGCAAGCCCAGGTTTGAGCATCGCTGTTAGGGGAACTCAAAACAGACATATTATTATCTGTTTACATTATGTTGATTTCTTCAATCATGTATCGCAGAGAGTCGATGAAATTAATGCAGTTGATGTTGTACAGGTGCACTTTCAAAACACGTTTGATAAAGGGCCACATAGTAGACAAGTAAGCAAAATTGACGCCCATGGGAACATGGATCTAAAATTGTTCGGGAGACAGAATGTTGAAGTTAGGGGTGAAGGATTTTTATTCGTAGGTTGGAATGAGGTATTCACTTGTATCTCTCAGGGTCGCGATTGTGACCAAATCTATTTTGACCTAAATCGATGGCATGGAATTGGACATAAGGAGCAACCTTTTAATGTTTGCCGATGACACAAATCTTGTAAACGTTGGAAAAAGTGAGTAGGATGGTAGCTGACTGCAGGAGGTCAAAGACAGAATGACGAAATGGGCAGCCGCATGAAAGAAGCAATTTGGTGCATTGAAGTGTGAATTGATGCACTTTAGGTAGAGGATTGAGGAGAGATAACACACAATAAATGGTAGAGGCTTAAAAGGGGCGCAGAGTAGAGAGACTTGAAGTTTCAGATCATCCATTCCGTGAACGTGGCAGCATAGGTTGGAGATTTTTTTTAAGAAGCGTATGTGATACACGGCTTTACCAATAGGGGTGTAGAATAACAATATTAGTGAGATTATGCTGAACATTTGCAAATCTCTGGTTAGGACTTAGATGGAGTATTGTGTCCAAATCTGTGCACCACAGTTTAGGAAGTATGTCAGGGTCTTGGAGTGGGTGCAAAGGAGATTTATCAGAATGGTACTAGGATTGAGGGACTTCTCCTTTCTAAGCGTTCATTGATTTTCATGTTCCTGCTGTGAAGTAAGGACTTACACAAATGTTGTACTCTTAATCAAGATTTATTAATTCAGATTAATATTGATTATAAGTAATTAGAAGAAGATATCAACTTCTGGTTACGTATCCATATATACTGTGGTTCACAATGATTTAAATTTACCAAACTAAACGCTGCTATAGAGATAGAGGAGCAGTGTCCAATTACTCACTGGAATCGAAATATAAGTCCTGAAACTTGTATTGATATACAGTTTCACCCAAATGTATCCAGGTATTATTGTATGTTTAGTATTGTTTGAACCGCAAACTTCACCTTCCTTCGTTAGAAGCTGGAATATAGTTCACAACAACAAATCTAATTTCTTCCTTACACATTTTTCTTTCGAATCGGTCACCGTTTATACTGTTGATTAGGCGACGTTTCACCTATTATTTTTCTTGCAAGGCTCCTATGTAAAAACAAAAGCAACATAGCTGTCTCCAGCTGCAGACCAATTTTCCATGAGAAAATGACTGATAAGCAATGGAAAACGTTTGTTATTTATAAGAAGCCTTTTGTTTTCTCCTCATTGTGGAAAGATAAACTTCGAAGATCGTCACAACTAATTCCCCTCATAATGAGGATGACCATATGTCTCAAATATATGAACATCGCAAATATAATTTAAGGTATTTTTTAACACATTAGCTAAGGAAATCCTACACCTTGGAAGAGATATTTAAGATAGTCGACAAAAGAAGCAGAGGGGAGACGAGGAGAAATTTTTAAATTCAGAGATTTGTTATGGTATTGAATGCACTGCTTGAAAGTGTGGTGGAAACAAATTCGATAAAGGCTTCCAATATGGAATTAGGTAGTAACTTAAAAAGGAATACAAATTGTGGGTAGTGGGCCTAGCCGGTCGCACTTTCAAAGAGCTGGTACAGGCACGGTGGGATGAACGGCCTCCTTCTGGCTCAAGAATCTATGATTCAATAAAAAGAGGGCATTCGGCCAATGTGCTCCTAATAACCTGATCTCTTCCGTCCAATCTTCAAACTCACCTCCTTGCGTTATCTATTTTAAATCTTAGTTGTTGATTTTGCTCTTTCAATGCTCCTATGGTCATCTTTTCCTCCCCGTCTCCCTTGCTTCTCAGCCAATGGGACACTGCGCAGCGCTTCCTGACGCTATCCTGTGCGAAAGCAATTATGTAAACGCAGGTTTATGTAATCGTCTTATGGATTAGGTGAACAGAAAATACATTCCATACTGCATTTAATTCGAACAATGGCCAAATGTCCATGTGCATTATTCGATATGAAGGACTATAGAAAAACATAAAATGCCCAGCATAATTGAAAGCTATGGTGTCTATGCCGCTCTATAAAAGTAGAATGCTTTCATCCGTGTTTACCTGTCAACAAAACAAGCCTCATCACAGTGCTTTAGTGTATTTATTTGTCGCTATGGAACTTCTTTGAATATCGAAGTAAGATGATGCGTTTCCCCTTCTGTCGGACACCCGGCTGACAAAATAAAATGCTGTCACTGGATTAATCAAGATTCAGTCACTGACCAGTGCTGTTTTTATGTCTTTGTAACAGATTCCTGGTCTACACAGACGAAATTGAAAATTGCTTGCCTAGCCATGACGATCGCATTGTCTCTAGTAATTCTTGTCCTGGTCCAGGTAGAATGCAGACCAATAAAAATACACAGCTGTCAAGAAAAGGTTATATGAGAAACTTGCTGACACCTCCACTTATCTCCTCAAAGCTCTCAGAATCCATTCCGTCTTCAGCTTAAACTCTGCTTCAAGCCACAGCATTTTCTCTTGGTATAATTTACTACATATTCCTTTGCCTAGCACACCCTGATCCACTCACTTTCCAGTTCTGTGTCTTTCTCTTTACCCTACTTTGGGAGGTGAATTGGGTACCTTGAGGTCTGAGCGACAAAATGCACCTGACAATAATAACAATTCCCTAATTTGATATTCAAACTTTCTCATCAGGAAAACGTCTCAAAGCACATTTCATGATGTACTGTCCAAGGAGTAGGTATTTTTGGAGTAAACGCGACAGCTATTCTGTGCACAGCAATGTCCCAGAATCAGCCTTCAAACAGTAAAAGCACAACACCACACGATTTACTTTGAAGGTGAACTCACCTATTTTATAAAATTACTGTGCATTGGTTAAAAATTGAGCTGCTGTTTCTAGGTGTTCATAAATTAGCACATCAACAGATACCAGCAGTTGATGGATTTCCGCTTGGAGGGTAAGGGAATAATTGAGGTGTCAGAGGGCAATGAATGGAGACTTGCAATAAAAATAATACACAACTACATAGCGTACTTTACACCAGGAATATATCTGAAATTGTTGTATGCAACTGACGACACTTGGAGACAAAATCCTGTCCTCTTCCCCTTCTCTTTTGTTGATATCTTGTTTCCTCTTCCTTGAAACTTTAAAACTGTCCATTCCACATTGATGTTTTCACATATCAAATAATAAACAGATTATATTTTTCCTGTGATATAGAGACATTCGAACCAGGAGAATGTGCCAAAGCGCTTCACAGAATATATTGTTAAATGTAGTGACTCTGAATTTGTGGGTGATCGCAGCAGCTAATTTTCGCAGAGCAATGCCCACATGTGAAGATTTCCTTGTATGTTGAATGGAATGCGTGCTCTCTTCCTGTGAAACTTGCCGGTCAGTTGTGCTTGGCGTTACAATGGTACATAATAGGAATTTATATGTGCTTTTAATGCGTTTTGCCAATACGAAATATTTAGCTGTAATCATTTTAGTCATTCATATTCTGTTAGTCTGTTCATTATGCTGTTTTAGTATGTATTTTGCCTATACTGGAGGAGGTCTGACATTTATACTTTTATAGACTTGTTCAAATGAAAGTCTGCTATTAAAATCTGTTATCCTTTAATGTGAGACAGCCAGTCGTTTCTCCAGCTAATGGTCTTTCTATGGCTGTGCTTTCCCGGGAGGTTGTCATGACATTTATGTGACGTTTCCTTGATTAATATTTGTTATTCTTCCTTTGCTTCGTTGGATATGTTAATGAGGAGAAGGAATATAGCAGCAGATATTTTGGATGAGGAGTGGACTCATTAAGCAAGCATACGGTTTTGAGAGAGATAAGAGATGACCCGGTTGGTGGGGTGGGGTGAGGGCGGGGGCCGGGTAATGTGGGAATGTGATAAAAGCAAACCGAGCCATCTTGTCTCCTATTTTTATTCTTACTGATACGGTCCAGCTGGGAAGGGATGTTTTGATGAGATAGTCTGCATTGGGTGAAAAGCAAGAGGAGTGCGGCTTACTCAAATGTTTTACAGTGAGTTTTTGGAAAGGGGAGAGGAATGAGCAAACAGATCAGTAAAATGCTATACAGGTTTTGACTGATTGGGCTTAAGCTGAACATCTGACAGAGGGAAGAAGAAGTAGACAAAAGAATAAAATTGTCAACGCTACCTTAATGTACATGCGCACGCTGTATAAACATTTCTTTGATACAGAACAACCTGTCTCTGTGAGGTTGATTATATCGCAGTTGGAAATTTGAAAAATAAAAATAGTTTTGTCTTATTTAAGCAGCAGGGATTGTATGTACTGTTAACATAAACTGTTAGCATAACACTGTAAACACCAGGGACGGGTCTGCCCTTCTTTTACTGTCAGTAAGCCTGGTGGGCTTGACTGTCATCAGCAGTAACCGGCAAGACAACAACAACAGATCATCTGCATACATCACTTGCCAGTTTAGGGGATATGTTAGATTATATTTTTGATGTTTGATGCATTTAATTAACCTCCACGTTGGTTTAGAATGTAACCTACCCATAATAATTTAACACGGTGTTTGATTTATATGTAAACTGGAAGTTGGACTAGGGAGTGGGGATGGAGGAAAAGATGATCAGTTAAAGAGGAACGATTTAAGATGGTCCTGAAAGGCAGGAAGGGAAGTTCTGATGCAAAGGGACTCTGGGTGGAGTTCCAGAGATTGGGGGCAGGTTGGCTGAAAGCCGAACTGCAAACGTTGGAATGACGAGTGCAGCAGCCAAGTTAATTATATCTTGATGGTTACTGAATAGTTTAAAGAATTTCAATTAAAATTTACATTCGTTTAGAATGTAACGTACCCAAAATTAGTTACTACGGAGTTTGATTTAATGAGTACCTTAGCAGGGGTTGATGGCAGCTTTGCAGAAGCGGTTGAGGTTAGCTTCTGATTACATATATATTCCTGAGAAGAAAAGTATATCTCATTATTCCCTGAGATAATGAGGAATCACGTCCTTAAACACAGATGTAAGAACAATCGACCACGGAATGAAAACGATGCAGTCTCACACACCTGCCTATCTCATGGCTAAGGAAAAAGTGGGCTGTGGAAGGCTACCAAATGTTGTCCAGTGTCTCTCCCTCTCTCTACATAGCAGCCTTCGAAGATTTGCAGCTCTCTGTATGACGATGGGAGGCGGGGTCAGAAACACATCAGAAAAGATGTAACTTTGAAACGGTTGTTGTTGTCATAGATGGTCAGCGCACGTCCCAATGGAATCGATATCTATTCCATTGTATCTATGTTTTCAGTTTTATAAATACGTCAAGCTGTTTATATTGCTAAATGAACCTTGGAATTCAACACAGCCGTCGTCTCCATCCGAATTTCTAACAAATTGGCCAGAAGGAGGCTGTGTATTTGGTCTAGGGTTAAATAAATTAGTGATCTACATAGATTTCGAAAGGATAGATTTGCGAACTAGTCGATCCCGACGAAGGAACTGTATTGCAATATAACTTAGTTAGAGTTGGGACACTGATGTAGATTAAAGTGGTCATGGAAGCTACAAGGGCTTTCAAGAAAAAGATGTTCGGGATTGACGGCAAGGTCATGTAACTACCACTATGACTATAGCGGGTCCAGTATATAAAGAGGTAATAAGTCACCCATGTAAAGAAGTATATGAAGGTCGGAGCAACGAGAAGAAAACCTGGAGATTTGTTGATGTATGTGACTTCTCTCTGCACATTTTTGAGCGGAGAGCATCAGTGGAATGTAGAATGAACTTTCGGACCCAGGAGAGAGAAATAAATTCTTACAAGCTTAGTATCTGAATTACAGTGTCATCTAGCCACAATGGTTGTGCATTGATTCAGACATAACTAACCTGGAAAATACAAAACTAAAAACCGAGAAGGCAAAGCGAAAATTTTTTTTATCTGATACTAGAGCACCTTTAGAGTGGCTTTACAGAAACATTCCCCAAATCCAGAAAATGAGTCTTGTCAAAGGGTGTCATATCAAGAAAAGGAAGAACAACTTACGGCAGAAAAGTTGAGAGGCTAATGGCACAGAACGGGAATGATGCGGAAGGTATTAATTGGGAACATCTGTAGGATAAGGGACGTCTGTTCTATAATCCACCAATAGAATACCAATCATTACCTACTGATCCCGTTGGGGAAAGGAATACACCCTCGAACAGCAGCTCATCCCAGCAGCCGTCATAATAAGAACTGCCACGTTTGATGTTGCAGAAGTATCGTAGGTTCAACCCATTGTAAATCAGCCGATAGCGCATACGAAGCTAAACGCCTTGACGTCGAATTGGGAGCCACGAAATATGGCTCCTGTCCCAGCTGAGCCTACACTATGGTATGGTAACCTTCGGGGCGCCACACGCAGAATAAAGCGATGAAGCACATTGGAAATGTATCATGGCTGCATGTTCGCGATATATCGGGGTCGCCACCCCACGTGACTTGCATGCTCCGGCAACTACTATACAGCAATGGCAGCGAGATAATTTGGCTTGGGATGAGATCAGGTGTATTTAATGTGGAACACTAGAGAAATGTATCACTGATCAAAGGTAAAGACAACGGCTTTTGCAGGATGTCTTTTCAATGTGTGCAATCCTTTGGCTGTGGCTGCAGAATTGAATACTGCCACTGATGTTATTGTCATGCCTATGCTTATAGTGGCAGATCCCCAGTTTAAACTAACGCTCTGGAAAGAGTTTTTGCCGGAAATGAGGGTTTACCTGGGAGGTGGGGATCTTTAAACAAGAATAGGTTATGTTCGGGTTGTACAGAGAAAGCGACAAAGGGAGGGGACATGGAGACGACTCAGAAAAATGATCAAACAGCAGAACGTATCTAAGGCAGGAGGAATGGCAACACTGGAAGGAAACCCCCTCCAAGGATGTGACCAGGAAAGGGAAGAGTAAGTTCGGTTCCCGGGACAAAATCAGGTGTGTGTTATAATTGCGTTAAAGCTGGTCGTTCGGCCCGCGCATGTCGGTCAAGGAGAACCGGGAGAATTACCCTCTGGGGAAGCTCCATGGATTGATCATGATGAGGAAATTCTCGAGTTGAGACAGCAAATGGAAAGATGCTCTTTTCAACGCTAATAGAAACACGGTGTCCGCGATGAAGAAAAATCACCCACTCCATTCAACACCTGATAGTGAATAGGAGGTGCGCGGGTTCTCCCCGCATCCGGTAAAAAGGTTCTGGCGGGATCGTTAATGCCGGTTGTCACTGTCAGTTACAATGGAGGCCACCGACAGGGAACGTTAACAGACACGGGCTCCAGCGTTACACTCATACATACTTTATCACTCTGTGGTCATCCACTGAGCACAGGGAGACTTTCTGTTTTAACGGGCTTTCCGGTGAATGCTGTACAGGCTTCTTTTAAGGATCA